ATCACATATCCACCAATCAATCAATCATCTGTCAATCTGTATCATTCACCTCTGTCTCCTCCATCCATCCCTTTCCATATATCTACCTAATCCATCCATCTATTCAATCAACCACCTATTGATAGATCTACCATTTACCTATCATCCAGTAGGCATCTCCCTTCCTGTCTGACCTACTGCGTACACATGTCAATCCAAGGACCTTTCTCTCAACCACCCGTCTAAACTATTATGGACCTACCTGTTTAGCTGACCAACTTTTCATCTGTCCACTCTGGATCCATYGTCTCTCTATCATCTGTCTTGGTCTCCACCCTCGTCTACTTGGTGGGTATCCATCTCTCTCCCTGCCTGTTCCTCTCCTTCCTATCTCACTCTCTGCCATGTGTCTCTCCATTGGACCTGTCTATCAATCATCTATCGATCATCTGTACGTCCATCTACCTATGACCTCTCTCTTCCATCAACCAACCACACACGGGTTTGGGTGACCTTGGAGAGCACCATTCCCAGGGGTGGGCTTCCAGTGCCAGGTGCCACGTGTCGGAGGGCAGCTCCCTGTGGCTTGGGACCGGTCACGGTGGCAGGGTCCTGTGACTCTACCCTGCCCGTCTTCAGAGCTTCGCGATGCATGAACTTCCGTGAGGTCTGGCCCGCACCAGGGACATTTCTCCTCGGGGCTACCGCTCATTTCGTGAGCGATCCTTTGGAATGGAATCCCTACCAGGTGCTTAGTCCCAGGACAGGGAGAGCAAGACTCAGGGTCCTGGAGGGACAATGGGCAGCACCTGTAGGTTCAGGAGGAATGTCCAGCTGGAGTGGGTCAGCGCAGACACCGAGGGACAAACATCTAGGGCTCCGCTGGGCACTGGACATGGTGATTACTATTCTAGAAGCACGGACTGATGGACCGTCCAAGACCCAAAGGAGCTATCAGGGGAGTGGGGTGGATRTGCTCCCAGATGACCTCTAAGATGAGCCCGGTCCACCAAGGGCGGCCACCTGAGCGTCCTGCATGGTGAACGGGCAGCCAGGCACCCCCYGCATGCCCTGTCCCAGAGAATCCCACAGAGTCCCTGCCACACCACCAGGCTGCAGACGGCACACTGTCCCCTTAAAGGAGTGTCCTCACTGGGTCCTCAAAACCAGTCCTCGGTCCCCGTGGGCCAAGCACGCACAACTGCACGCGGAGGTGGAAGGATTTAATGACCCGTGGCACCCGTGACAATTTGGCACTTGGGCATCCCAGGACTTCAGGCTGAGGACCACCAACGAGTGGTCACCTCCAGTGTCCCTTTGGGTGGCAGAGAGCCTACCAAGCCGGGCTGCAGAGCCCCAGGGCCACAGCTATCTCAAGATGGCGTCGGGACTCCCGTCGGGGAGGCCGGTCAGCTGGCAGCTTGTGGCCCACAGCTGTTGCTGGAGCTTTTGGTCGTAGGTGACCGGCAGGGACCTGGTCTCCTTCTCGTTGTAGAAGTAGCGGCCACCMACTCCTTCCAGTTCGGGGGTGATCGCTGCGTAGATGGTGGTCCACGCTCCTTCCTCAGGCGTCTGGGGGAGGAGGAAAGATGGCGGAGAAGTCAGTGTCCAGGGGAGAGCATATGGGTTGTGAGAGGGTGTAGACTCATAGTGGATTAATCCACTTGGATGGACTCACTGGGTGTAGACTCATAGTGGATTAATCCACTTGGATGGACTCACTGGGTGTAGACCAATAAGAGGATTAATCCACTTGAATGGACTCACTGGGTGGTGACTGCAGCAGGTGGGGTGTGGCTGGAGGAGGGGGTCCCTGGGCTGTGCCTTGGGGGTCTCTATCCTGTCCCTGGTGAGCAGAGCTCTCTCTGCTCCCTGGTGCCCTGTCCTGAGCTGCTCTCCTCCTCCAGGCCCTGCCGCCATCTTGTCCTGCTCCCCTTGGGCCAGAGCCATGGAGTCGGCCACCAGGGACTGGACCTCGGAAWCCCTGCAGACTTCAGTGTGGAGATTGGAAGGGGTTTCCCGCGAGGTGACACTGTCCCCCATGTCCCTCCGCCACAGCTCGAGGGGGTCAGTGGGCACTGGAGCAACCCATTCCTGAATCTGGAATCCCCTCACCCTGCTCTGGACATGTCTCCGCAGTCTGCACACACCCTGAATCATCCAYGGTGCTGAAACTCACGCAGAGTGGACCCCCCTCCCCAGGACAGGGGATGTGACTCACATTCTGTGTCCCCGTCAAGCCCCAGTCCTGCAATTGGTGACTGTGCACGGGGAGCACTCAACCTCACTTTTTCTCGACTGTCCCCACGTACAATGCCAATCACCAGGGACCCCAGGTCACACGGGCTCCTGATGAACGGCTTCCAACTTAGACGAATATTTTCCTTGGGCTTCGTGAATTTCTAGGAAGACTCATGGAAGTTAATGGAGCCCTGAGCTGATTATTCTGGTTCTATTATAAAAGATATTGATGAGGAAGAAGAGGATCAGGAAGAGACTCTTAGGGCAACGTCCAGAGGATCCCAAATGAGCAGCTTCGGAGCCTCTCCCTGCGCCTCCCAGACGTAAATACGCTCAGCACACGGCAAGTACCCCAAGCTCTGGTGTGACTGGCCAAATGTGTGTGTGTCCCCCCAAATTCCCATGTGGAATCCTGACCCCAAGGTGCTGGTGTTGGGAGGTGGGGTTCTGGGAAGTGCTGAGTCATGASGGTGCAGCCCTCACAACAAAATATAAACCCCAAAGACACACCCCAGTGACCCACCTCCTCCGGCCACACCCCACCTGCCCATTGCCACTACCCATTCAAGAGGATTAATCCACTGTCTAGGTCACACCTCTCACATCCCAATCCTTTCACCTCTGAATCTTCTTGGATTTTCTGACACATGAGCTTTTAGGGGACACCTCACATCTAACCCAGGTACCGAGCCCGGCAGCTGTAAATCCAATATGGCGCCACTTCCCCCACCGCACCCTGGAGGGAGAGGCCATACTGGGCTGCTCTGGGTCCCTGCCGACACCATGGCTCCCAACCCACAGGCTTCTCCGTCTCGCTGGTGTCGGGACGTTGGCTGGGGACAGTTTATATTTAGCGCCGAGTCCACTCTGCAAACAGACCCTTCAGGTAGCTCCCGGGGCGAGGTGATGGGAAAATCATATGTCACCCCCAACATGGGTTCCCGGCCCTCGTCACAGAGCATCCGGCCAATGTCCTGCTGGGGTAGCAACGTCCCTCCTGCCACGGAGTCCCTCTGTTCTGTGCCTGCAGGCCACCCTTCCTCCAAGAGGTGGAC